AAATGATGGATCCCTGGCACAGTCTTGTGTTTCGTAATATGGCCAGCTGGTAGTAAGGACTGCATGATCCTGTCACTTTGTGGAAATGCAAAACCTGGTGCGGGGATCAGAATCCAACAGGCTAAGAACCTCTTCTCTCTTTCATGTAAACACCACAGATTTGTAGCATGTACTGCAAAGTGTACAGGTCAGGCATAGTAATATTTGGAACCTGATGAAGGAACATGTGACCTGAACAAATGCTAGGAACGGGTGACTTGGGGCTGCCTGTCACATGCTATCTACTCAAATGTCCACTCAGGAGCTAAAACAAATAAAGCTGGCTACCTCAAGCTGCATGGCCATTGTTGCACAACTGTTCATTATCATATTTTAATTCATGAGAATATTTACAGGATCAGTGCACATTCAGCAAAGGGTGAGCATGCAAGCAATTGTGAAAGGTTCTGATGAGAGCTATGCATGCAAAGGCATTGTCTTACATGGTAAGGTAAATTATGCATGCAAATCATGCATCAATGTCATGAAATGGACTACAAAAACAATAAAATAAACACATTCAAATTGGACTGGAGATTCAGAGATACTCTCCATCTGAGGTACCATATTGTCTAGTGTCATCCGTGGTAAAAAATTTGTTGGTGATTGTACATGATATCCAAGAACAGGGATAACATTGGTCTTCATAGTATTTTTTCTTCTCTCTTTGCAGAAGCAGGAGGGAATGAGAGAATGGGAAACTGCTTAATTTGCATAATTTATACAAGTTGCACAATTCAACTTTACTTGACATGGATTTTTTATTTTTGACTCTTCTTTTGGCTGGTTTTTTTTGTTGCTGGCTAAAATTAACTGGGCAGTTTAAACTGGATGAGTTTCCACATGCCACCTGGGTTCAAGCTCCACTGAAATCTCGAAATTTTCATTTTCATATATGCATTGCCCATCTATGAGGCTCAAACACCGATTCCTTTAAAATAGCCATTTTAAGCCGAGCTAAGAAGAAGAAAACACCTATTTTCAGGGGAAGAAAATGAACCTTAAGACTGAAGCCAATCATATGCATATGTAAGTTCCCTGGGGCTGTATTTTTTAATGTTAAGCATTTGCTTATTTTCTGATAAAACGTTCATATTTCATGGCACATTAGCAAAGAGCCGCTATCTTATGACCAAACTTGAGATACATTAACACGGGAAAACAGACCAAGTTTTGTAACTAGTGATGGGAGGAAATGCTGCAGTTCAGAAAACCTCACTCCAGGGCTGTTGTCAGAGCCCAGCATCCTTGAGAAGCTGCTGGGGCCCCAGTAGTCCAGGAAGACCCACTGCTGACACCTGTGCAGAGTCACTCCAGAGCACTGTGTCCTTGGGGAGTCCTTGGGGAGCATGATTGTGAAGAAAAGGAAAGCCTACCTGAGGAAGGTGGGGAACCCACTCATGCCTACAGGGGGAGCTTGCTAGATAAGGACTGTGCAAACTCTGCTTAATGAAAATGACACTTCCAAGCCCTTTCCAGCTGGGGAAGACAGGAATTCTCTCTCTCATGTGTTTGATTTTTCCTCAACTTTCTCAAAAGAAGAAAAGACATCCATGGCTCAGCTAGAGCTTCTTGTCACCATTGTCTCTGTAGTCCTGTTGACGATCTACCACCAATCTCTTAACTACCATGCAAGCAAGTATTCTGGTGCACCACACAGCAGATTAGGGAAGGGGCCAGAGACAACAATCATATTGGGAACAGAAGTGAAAAGCTAGAGAGGAGGCCCACCTTTTCTCCCATTCAACCAGCAATTTACAGTGTCCACTGTCCAGATTGCAAAAACCCTACTTTCACCACAAAATCTATTTTCAGAGCCCACCCTGAAGACACTCCCACCCACCGGTTTGGTCAGCCAAAAGCTATAGCTGGATTTTGAGACATCAGGCAAAAAGGGAGATGGGAAAAGACCTCACCCCCCAGTACTCTTGGCATCTGCCTTCCTGCACAGCTGGGGATATTAATAATCATTGCTTTCATCAGTGAGTGAGGAGGAGAGAAACCAAGTGTTTTGCTGCTTCCTGTTTGAGTTAATTTCTTCTGACAACTGCTGATTTGGGTTTGTGATTCAATCCTCCATATGTCTAGCTCTATTGGTCAATTAAGTGCAGGGGGTGATTAGGGGAAGCAGCAATGCTCAGACTGATTATGGGAGGAAGCATCCGGCAGTGCTCAGAACATGCAAAACAGCCAAGCGTGCTTAGCATTAACACTTGGCTTAGCAGAGCATTCCTGTAGTGGCTGCTGCTGCTGCTGGGCAGGTCAGAAGAGACCTCCCCTTGCCACTTCTGGAGAGACTAGATGCATCCAGCCGTCTGTTGGCTTCATGAGAGCAGCACGCATGGCTAAGAAGGGACAGATGATCTCTGACTACTGCTACTGCTGCTGCTGCCACCACTACCACTACCAATAATAATAATACAGTGCAACCTCGTTTTTTGAACGTCTAGGCTGCCAAACGTTTTAGAAGCTGAACGCCGAAAAACCAGAAGTAAATGTTTCAGTTTTCGAACACGCCTTGGAAGCCAAACGGTTTCCAAGGTGTGTTTCTCAATTTTCTCCACTCACTTTGCTGACAGCCCTTTGATCCTTGGTTTTCAAATGTTTCGGACTTCCGGAACAGATTACGTTCAAAAACCAAGGTTCCACCGTAATAGTAATTTGAAACAATCCTTCCATTATATAGTGTCTGGTATGAATGCCAGTAGAAGATTTATATATAGGAGCTGGCAAGAAAAAGAGATCCACCTTAAAATAATGTAAATTATTGTAAATCTAGTAAGTTATTGTAAATAATGTAAGTAATGTAAATCTGGGGGAGAAAAATTAAATAACCGGAAAGTGTTATAGGGTTTTTTGGGGGGATGGGGGAGAATAAAGCTAGTGGGAGTTCTAAAACAGCACATTCATAGCAAGCTTAGAATATTGAATTAATCGTGAAAAATACTTAAGGGGGGGTGTTATATTCTCCCCTGTATTTTGTCATAGCTTTGACTATCCCCTTTGCCGCAATCCTCTTATTCCAATAATCAAGCCCACACCAACCATAGATAGGTCCAAGCACTGGAACCTTTTCAGTGTAAGACATGAAAGACTGATAGGCAATCTGGGGCTTCGTGGACAGAATCATTCAATTGCAAATTTATGAAGTGAAAAGGTGATGTCCCCCTCTGCAGATCTGGCAAGATGGCAACTGGAACACTGCCTTCTGGGCAATGTGCATATGCAACAAGATGTTGAAGAGCAGAGGGAATTCAGTGGAGAGCAGCAAAAATGATTAAGGGTTTCAAAGGGTTGACATATGAGGGAGATTAAAATAATTAAATGTATGTGGCTTGGCGGAACGGCAATGAAAAGTGTCAAGATTCCCCATCTGCATGTGTGTGGCTTTTATGGAAGCCAAATGAGCTGTGTGATGACGATGGGGCATAACTGGAAAATGGAGGAAAAATGCAGATTCAGGACCAAGAAATATTTCCTGGTACTGAGATCTGGCATCCCTTAGGATAATATTGCCAAAAGAAGAGTGAGATATGCTACATGGAAAATTAATAAGAAAGGGGATTTGGACTGAACTGCAGCTAACCTCAATGTTTTGAGCAAATTCACTATGTTTTCACCCATAGTTAGCTTACTATCACAATTGCCATCTATATTTCTGCAGTTGTGTTCATTTTACCTCTTTTTACAATACTTGGACCTTATTTGCAAATTCTCACAAATGTAGTCATATGCAGCACAATAAAGTGGTTCTGTGTCATTAATACCAAAATTTCCATGATGTAGTGCAAACTGATAGGTTTGTGTTCTTTGTATTCAGGGTTGTTTGACAGTGGAATGGACTCCCTTGGAAGCTGGTGGAGTCTCCTTCATTGGAGGCTGGGTGGCCATCTGTCATGGCTGCTTTAGTTGGGAGTCCTGCTTTGCAGGGGTTGGACTAGACAACTTCCAGAGTCCCTTTCAGCTCTACAATTCTATGATTCTATGACTGCGTATAAATTGGAGTGCTGTGTGTCACTGACACAGGGTACTTGGAACCGGCTGCTGCCATCACTGCGGCAAGCTTTTCAAAATTGCCCATGTCACTTTAAATACATTAGACAATAAATCATCCCTCTGAGACATCCCCAAAGGAAAAATGGGGGCGGGGGAGTCAGAAATAGCAGTTAAAAGCCCTTTTCTATTACACTATCCCTAGAGAGCTGTAAAACTTGGAAAGTTTTTAAAGTAAATTGTATGGCCAAGGGCTTTGTGTGCGTGCAAACACAATACTGTGCTGTGCTTTCCACTATTGTCTGTTCTAGCACAGGCATCTAGCTGCATCTCTTCTGTCCATCTTTCTTTGCTATGAGCTATACATCTAGCTGTTCAATTCCTATTCCGTTCAACATTTTTCTTCTTCTTCCTGTTTTCTCTCTCTCCACTATTCTCCACCTCCTCAGCTTCATCACTCCTCCTCCGTCTGTAGTCCAGCCCACCCTTTGAGATGCTTAAGTTGCAACAGAAAGCGAAATGTACGAACGTTGCAGACTACTCTGGCTCCAGTTCAGTGTTCATCAGGGACATCTGCATCTGTCAGGGTTTGCTGTGGGCACAAGAGTACCTGGGATGGAGCCCTCTCTGGCTTCCAGGCCTCTACTCAGCGTTTGAATCCGGGAAAGAAAGGCAAGGCGCTACATCGGGCTTGTGGGGCGCTGAAGCTCAATGTCTAGTCGCGTCTGTGCCGCCGTGCCCGGCAGATCCCGGCAGCAAAAGAGGCATGTCTAGGGCTGTGGGGGACAGTAGGATGCTTGGAGCCACTCGTTCTGCTGCTCCAACTTCTTGAACAGCTCCTGTAGCTTCGGCACTTCGGCGGCGTGGCTGCCAAAACACCCCACGACCCTCTCGCTTCCCAAGGCAGCAGCTGGAGCAGGAGCGATCCTGCTGCGACCACCTCCTCCTCTTCTCCCTCCCTCTGTCAGGCGAAGCCTCGCGTTCTTTCCCTGACCCAACGCTGCCGAGCGAGGGGGGAAAGCTTCGCCTCACCGAGGGAGGGAGAAGAGGAGGAGGAGCAGGCGGCGGCTGCAGGATCCCTCTTCCCCACCCCCACCCTCTCCTTACAGACTGGGCAGGTAGGAAGCAGCCCGATCTGCGTCGCCAGCAGAGAGGGGTCTCCTTGAAGTCCCGCTTCAGCACCTACTGAACGAAGGGCTGGCTAGGAGGAATTTCTCCTCCTACGCCCTCGGCACAAGCAGTGGCAATTTAAATTGAAATCTTAGTGTGTGTGCTGCGACAAGAGTTCGGAAAATGCTCCCAATAATAAAATTCTCTATCGCAGAATGCGCCCATTACTATTGAAGTTTCGAACGCTGCCTCTACGTACACCTCGCTACCAATCTGTGCTCCCTCTTCCACTTGTCTTCTCGGTCCTTGTCCACAGTCACTTCCACGCACAATATAATTTGCAATATCATAATCTTGGGACAACTCTGACACTACATTCTGACTCTTGGCTTAAAGTGATAGTGGAAGAGCAGCCCATGATCCAGGTCTTTGTCAGAAGTATCAGATAGAGTTGTGAGAGATCTATGAATCAGAGGGAACCTCAAGACCCTACTCCCATTGCAATCTTTCCAATTCAGTAACAACTCCATGGTGGTTTTATAATCGGTAGGCAAAAAAATTGGAACATCAGAAGCATCCCTGGGCCATTTGGCTGTTGCCAAGACTTCATATCTAGAAAGTAGTCACATGGAATCCCCATTTTGTAAAAGCAGTGGAGACTTCTGAAACTGCAAAGTAACTCGCCTGAAGGATCTGGAATACAGCTGATTCTACTACATAACTGGTTGGAATAATCCAACTGAAGGAGAATCAGAAACGTTGCTTATGTAGAATCATACAAACACTGAGATCTACAAGGTAGTTGTGTGGATAGTGTTTTATAGTTTATTCACTAGGTGGCACTGGACTTAGTTGTTTCCGAGTGAATCTAGGAGAATCCTGCTACTGTTGCTAATGTTGAAGACAGATAAAATGTTTCAATTTTTGATTGGTATATCCTCTAAGAAGCTACAGCATATGTGACTGGCAAGAGGCATTTGATAATAACATTCAGCTCATAGGGATTCTCTTGGTTTCAATCAACCTATGCTACAATAGATTATTATAACTCACTTGTGGGCAGTAGACCCCACACCAGAGTCAGCTGATCTCTTATTGTCTGCGCCCTTAAGTTAAAGGCTTCCCTGAATAGATATTGCTAGTATACGATGCACCAACATGAACAACAATGAATGCCAGAAAGAAGAATGGAAGAACAAAACAGCACGCATTGGCTTTCTTCCCTCCCTGCATCTGAAGCAGCCAGGAAAAGGAACAGAAGGAGGGGGGGACGACACCATATTGAGTTGGTGCCATGTGATAAATTGGACAAGCCGAAGTATGAAGAAGAATGGGGCGGGGGGAGAACCCAGTGAGAAAAGATTATTCTGACACCTTGTAGATTTATAGACTTCCTGGTTTCCTTAATGGCTATAAATCATGCTTGGGCTCCTGTAGCCTTCCTCTCTTTTCCCATTTACATTGTGGTTGAGTGAAAGCTACAAGCATGGTAGCCAAGAACAAGGAGAGGAAGGACAACCTGTAGTCGGGGCTGTAAAGCTGTTGCTGGCAGAGAACATTAGGAAAGAACCCTTCATATCTGCTTATCAGTGGAACATTGTCATGGAAGAAGGATGGGAAGATCGAGAGTTGGGGACCAATGTTCATTCTAATTTTTTTGGACACAATAGAAAGAGCACCCAATGACATAACCCTGGTGAATTGCTGCCACTTCTAAAAAAAGAACCGTTAGCAGGTGGCAAATTGAGGAAAGGAAAATCAAAAGGAGGGAAGAGGTCATGTTTTATTTCACTTGTAGTACTGCTCAAATTCAGCCATAACCTGATTAAAGTAAATCCCTTTTTTACAGCCTGTGGAGTCTATAAGATTATGGTGTTAATGTAAGTGTGATTCGATCTGTCAGTAATGGTGCATGTCGGGGCCCAGGCAACTCAGACAAGTCCATTATTTAAGATGTATTTATTGTCGCCCCCACCCCTGCCGCATCCTCATCCCCCTCACTTTTCCTTCTCTGCATTACAGGGTTTAATTGAACAGTTTAAAGCGATTCTTCTTCAAGGCCCATTAATTGATTTTATTTGTGCATTCTTCTGGGTCATGGGAAATAATAATAATAAAACTATGGTCCTACTCCATCACAGATTCACCAGTGGCACAACACACCCCAAACCACCCTGTTTTTCTGACTTAATATATAGAACCATAGAAATGTAGAGTTGGGAGGGACCCTGAGAATCATCTAGTCCAATGCCCAGCAATGCAGGAATATGCAGCTGGCTTGTATGAGGACTGAACCCACAACCTTGGCTTTATTTGTACCATGCTCTAACCAACTGAGCCTACGGTATACAGTAAAACCAGTATCTGAATTCTGGTCTTTATATCACTAGAACAGCATCATTCAGGCACAATATGACAGTATCAGCACACTTGGGGCACCCCTAGGTTTGCAGAAGTACACCTACCACCACCCAGAACTCAACACAAGGTGAACCGAGGATTGGCCATGGAAAAAGAATGTTGATTAACTGTTGGGGACCTAGGGAATATAGAATGGAATTACGTATCCTAGAAGATAGGATGCCAGCTAACCAGTTATGAAGAGGAGCACTCCATATATTGTGTTGTAGGAGGTCTCACCTGTATATTTCAATTATTCTTTGCTTCCTCTTTTCTAGCATCCCTGGGATGCTAGTTTTGCTCTCTATGCTCTCCCCCCCCCTCCTGCCTCTTAATTTCTCTGTCTGGTTTCATAGAATGAAAACATCTCTTTTGAAATGCCCACTCTTCTATTGCAGATATTCCCTAACAGAGGAAGTCAACATCTCAGACTCTTTATATGATGAAGTTTCATAGTTTATTTGTTCAAAGAAGAATTTCTATACCACTTGGTTGTAAAATATATCAAGGCACACTATGAAACCTAATTTGTTTCATCTCACTCATGCACACCCATTCAGGTGACTTTTAATCACCAGGGAACACCTCACATTGGCCTAAACCAAAATTTACAATTTACAATAGTTAAAGACAGGCAGAGAAACAACCGCAGTAATGAGAGTGATTGATGATTTCCCAATTTCACAGTTTAATCAGAGACTTTCCAATTCCTTAAATGTCTCATGTTGAAGTCATTGAGGTCTGAACCCTGTTTGAACCCCACCAGTTCCTACAACTAAAAGGTTTCCTGCTTGGGTGGGAAATTTCTAAGGATTCAGAAACACTTCCAGTCATTATAATTTCTCACAAGGGATGAAGCGGGTCCACATATAACATCTTTAAAATCAAACATGTCCACAGACCAAATACGTACTGTACCGTTATCACTCTCCTCTTTAACGAAACAAGACACAGAGCATAAGGCAAAACAATTCATCTGAATAGTTGGCAAATAAACATTAGAAAAGTTACATATATTAAAGACATATAAAAAAGACATAAATATAAGAAATAAAATAAAGATATTACCAAGCTGTTAACAGGAACATTAAGTAAAAGATGAAAGCTGTTGGTTTTATATCTCCAAAATTATCTGAATTAATTTAGAAGTATGAAATTGGACATTGGTGAGCTTCAAATGAATTTCTATATCTTGAAATAATTACACATATTAATTTTATGTGCAGAATTTATGCATATATATTCAAGAGTTGTTCAATAATTTAAACACTTGGGATATTAATTTGAGATAAAACAGAGGAAATGACTGGACATTTACTAGCATTAGAACCAAAACTATTATTAACAGGATACTTCAAAAATCCCAACGATGATTTGGAAGTAGTAAGACATCTGATAATTGCTGTGACAATTTGCATAGTTAAAAAAATAAATCAGAATGTTACGATAGGATATGCAATGCGGTAACAATATATGTTAACTCACTATAGAAGAGCTACCCAGTAGCAAGCAGGTGGTAGTGAGGAGCAAGTTACCTGATCTCCTGGCAGGTGAGCTGTTGCTGGGAGAGGAGGGTGATATAGTGCATGGCAAGACAGCTGGATTTATGCCTCAACCTCTCCTGGTGAGCAATGGCAACTCACCCACCACTACTGGAGCTACCAATAACCAGCTAGATAAGTTTTTAGAACTATGACTTGATTTATCATCTATTGGAAATATAAATTTCAAGCGAACATGCATCTGTCCAATGCTTCTGAATTATTGTGATCACTTCTATGTGTAACATTTCAATTCATATACAGTGGTACCTCGGGTTACAGACGCTTCAGGTTACAGACGCTGCTAACCCAGAAATAGTACCTCAGGTTAAGAACTTTGCTACAGGATGAGAACAGAAATCATGCAGTGGCAGCAGGAGGCCCCATTAGCTAAAGTGGTACCTCAGGTTAAGAACAGTTTCAGGTTAAGAACGGACCTCCAGAACGCATTAAGTTCTTAACCCGAGGTACCACTGTATGCACAACTATATGTAACTCATGGTTCATATGTCAAGGAGGTAGGATTCTCTACATCTACCTACATACCTATTAAAATGTCTAGGTACCGACCTATTACTTCACTTCTCAAGTGACGTGAGAAGGTGGCCCTACTCCAGTCCTTAAACTGGTAAATATAGAAGTAAATGTACAAGTAGTTATTTCATGATTAATGGTTATGTAAATGGGACTTTATTGTGCTGAGCAGATTATTACTGTTACTTCCAAGTAGGATTTTCAGGTCTCCTAGGGTTAGATTTGACTGAACATCCTGTTCCGAGTATGAGCCAAACTAGTGTAGCTTCAGATACCGCATTTATCTTTTATTCCTTTTACATTGTGCCAAGCTCCTATCATAAAGATAACAGAAAATTGGATCTGGATTTTGCTCTAAGCAAAACTGATTCCTAGCAAGCTTGGAATGGATTTAATTCATTCTCACCTGGAAAAAACCCCCAACAACCTTCAATATGCTTCAAAGCTGTAGTTTTTTCTTCTAAAAGGAAGGTTTATGTCAGCTTGCAAAGGGGAGGGGAATGGCTGGGCAAGCCAAGTCTAAATGAACTGAGAATAGAATTAATGTGCTAGGTCTGAACTGACATGGTGTCCTCATGGTATGTTTGAAGAACTCCAATTTTAA